GGTGACAAAGTGAGACTCTGTCTCCAAAATAAACCCCCCCAAAACTAAAAAACAAACCAAAACTGTGATATTAGTATGTGGGTTTTTAACATATGCCCTTTATCCTGAGAGGATATTCTCTTCTAATCCTAGTTTATTGAGTATTTTTATTTTTATTTTTGCTTATGTGTTTTTTTGAGCCTTTTTATTAGTGTTTTTTGCTGTTTTAAAGCTATTATTCCCCATTTTCTTTTAGGAGCTATATAATTTTACCCTATAAATTTAGTATAACTTTTTTCCCCATATATCATAAACAATGACCTTATCTCAAGCCATACCACAATGAATTTATCTGAAGTAGACAGTTTGAGACACAATATTCCAACTCTGTGGTGGAAGGTCAATCATTTGTGCTTTGAATTTTCCTTGATATAATTTGCTTCTTAGTAGAACTTGTAGATAGGAGTTGTCTATCCTAGAAAACCCGGAATGCCTTTGAACCTTATACAAATACTTGCAAGTAGAAGTGACATATATCAACTCAGATGCCCCAAAGGGGTCATTCTCCTTGTCTTTCTCTATTTTCACAAGGTTTATTACCCATTTTTTTTTTCTTTTTGAGACATAGTCTCATTCTGTAGCCCTCCAGAGAGTGCCACAGTATTAGCCTAGCTTATAGCAACCTCAGTCTCTTGGGCTTAGGCTATCCTCTTTCCTCAGCCTCCTGAGTAACTGGAATTATAGGTGTCTACCACAGATGCCCAGCTAGTTTTTCTGTTTTTAGTAGAGAGAGGGTTTTACTCTTGCTCAAGCTGGTCTAGAACTCCTAAGTTCCACCGTGGCCTCCCAGGATTACAGGCCTGAGCCTGTGCCCAGCCCATTTAAATGAAGATCTCGCTGTGTTGCCCAGGCTAGAGTGCAGTGGCATGATTATAAAGCTAACTGTAGCTTTGAACTCCTGGGCTCAAGGCATTCTCTCACCTCAGCCTGGAGAATAGCTGGGACTATTCACAAGGTGCATGCAACCATGCCTGGGTAATGTCCAAGAAAAATTTAATAACAAATATTAACTCTTAATAGTTATCTCTAGTTAGCTGCTTTGGTTGTCAAAAATTTTTGTCCACTTCCTATAGTGTACTTATTATGGTGTTTGTTTTTTTTTTGAGGGGGGGAACAGAGTCTTATTTTGTGACCCTTGGTAGAGTACCATGGCGTCATAGCTCACAGCAACCTCAAACTCTTGAGCTCAAGTGATTCTCTTGCCTTAGTCTCCTAAGTAACTGGGACTACAGGTGCCTGCCACAACGCCCAGCTTTTTTTTTTGTTTTTAGAGAAGAGATCTCACCCTGGCTCAGGCTGGTCTCACACCCGTGAGTTCAGGCAATCTACCTGTCTCGAACTCCCAGAGTACTGGACTTATAGGCGTGAGCTGTGTGATAAGATAGCTTTCAAAATATGTAGGATAAAGTCCTATTCATAACCAAATTGTGGGATAATTCTTTGTTACCTGATTTTTAATTAATTAATTTTTTTTTTTTTGGGAAACAGTCTTACTGTGTTGCCCTCGGTTGAGTGCCATGGCAGGCTCATAACAACCTCAAACTTTTGGGCTTAAGCAATTTTCTTGCCTCAGCCTCTCAAGTAGCTGGGACTATAGGTACCCACCATGATGCCCGGCTATTTTTTTTTTTTTGGTTGCAGTTGTCATTGTTGTTTAGCAGGCCCGAGCTAGGCTCAGACCTGCCAGCCTATGTTGCCGGCACCCTCCATACTGAGCTATGGATGCTGAGTTGATTTTTAACTTTTTAGAGATAGCTTATAATAGGTTCATAGTCTAGTGCTCGCTTTGGCAGAACATATACCGGTACTAAAATTGGAATGAAACAGAGAAGATTAGCAAGGCCCCTGCTCGGGGATTACATGCTAATTTGTGAAGTGTTCCATATTTTTGTCCTCACCTAATGTGCATAATGCAATGGTACATTTCAAAACCATTAAGAAAAGAGTATAATTGTCTTACTACAACAATTGAGTAAGCAAGGTGATGGATGTGTTAATCAGTTCTATGTAAGCATTTCAATTGTGTATCAAATCAGTATGCTGTACTCCATAAATGCATCAATGTACACAGTTATTGTACACACAGTTATGATTTAATAAAAAAAAGGGTTCATAGTCTAAATGAATTATGAATTGTTACTATGAAAAATACAAATTATTGTCTAGTCTGAAATTGTAACCCAATTTAAAATATGTAAGTGATATTAAATATAAGGAACTCATCAAAATTGAAGTGAATTTTCCCCCCCCTCAATAATATCTCTAGATATACTCTAGGTTACCCATAGATAGTAATAGACCTGGAGATAAGAATTTACTTCAACAGATACAATTTACTGTTATTCAGAGTTAATAATATTTTAGTCTAGGTGTGGTGGCACATGCTTGTAATCCTAGCACTCTGGGAGGCCGAGGTAGATGGATCCCTTGACCTTAGGAGTTTGAGCAAGAGTGAGACCCTGTCTCTACTAAAAATAGAAAAACTGAGGCAAGAGATCGCTTGAGCCTAACTTGAGGTTGCCGTGAGCTATGATGACACCATGGCACTGTACCCAGGGCCATGGAGTCAGACTCTTGTATCAAAAGCAAAAAGCATTTTAGTGAATTCCTTTCCTGTTCTGTCATCTTTAGTTTGTCTTTTTTTTTTTTTTCATTTTTTTTAGTGGTGTAGCCTCTCTCCTTTTTGGTGGGAATAATGTTTCTTTTCTGTAGAAATCTAGTCTTAAGGACTAGTCATTCCTCTATTTTGTAAATATAGTAGAACCTCTGTAGTTGACCACCTTCCTGCATTGACTACTTCCTTAAGTTGACCTAATTTCCATAGACTGGGCATGCACCATAGACAGGTATAGGTACAATAGGCTTAGCTCCTTATATTGACCACTTCTGCATGTTGACCAGTTTGTTCCAGTCCCTTGGGTGGTCAACTTTCAGAGAGAGGTTTTACTGTATTTTTAATCTAGTTCTATTGATAAGTTTACATTTTATAATGAAATGAGTGACAGATGTGTTTAGATTGAAATACTGATAACAAGGATTTCTGAAAATTTGTGTAATTTAGAATTAGATCATTGGAGAACATAAGCTGTTATGTCAAATTTGGGTTCAATTGAGCAAGGTTATTCTCTGAACTTTGCTTCCTTCTTATTGAGTGCTGTATTTTTATACCATATGGGGCTGTGGTGGTAAGGAATTAATGCCTGCATCATAAGCAGTGCTTATTGTGGGCTATCATGTTCAAGACAGTGGAATTTTTTTTTATTACTTGAAATTGTTAAAGTTTTAATTATTTATTTTTATTTATTTTTTTTGAGACAGTCTCACTTTGTCGCCCTTGGTAGAGTGCTGTGGTGTCATAGCTCATAGCAACCTCAAACTCTTGGGCTCAAGTTATCCTCTTGCCTTCACCTTCCAAGTAGCTGGGATTACAGGCTCCTGCCACAATGCCTACCTATTTTTGGAGATGGGGGTCTTGCTCTTGCTCAGGCTGGTCTTGAACCTGTGAACTCAGGGCAATCCACCCACTTTGGCCTTCCACAGTGGTAGGATTACAGGCGTGAGCCATCATGCTCGGCCTCCAGCCCAAAAATTTTTAGTTTTTAAAAATTATTTTAAGTTGTTATAAAATACACATAACATAAAACTTACTATATTAACCATTTTTAAGGGAATGGTTCAGTGGTATTTAGTATATTTACATTGTTGTGTAACCATCACCATGATCTATCTTCAGAAGTCTTCATCTTGTAAAACTGAAATTCTGTTCAGAAGTAATAACTCTCCAATGTCCCCTCTCTCAGCTCCTGGCAGTCATCATTCTACTTTATATAAATTTTTCTACTCTAGGTACTTCATATAAATGGAATTACCAGTATTTTGTTGTTGTTGTTGTTATTCCTCTCTCCCTTCCTCCCTTCCTTTTTCTTTTTCCCCTCCCCTCTCCTTTCCTTCCCTTATAATAGATTCATACTCTAGCACTCACTAGTGTGAATGAACTTCCCTTCCCCTTTCCCTTCTCCTCCCCTTCCCTTCTAATAGGTTCATAGTCTAGTGCTCACTAGTGTGAATGATCTTCCCTTCCCTCCCCTCCCTTCCCCTCCCCTTCTGTCCCCTCCCCTCCCTTTCCCTCCCCCTCCCTTCCCTCTTTCCTTCCCTTCCCTCCCCTCTTTTTCCTCTCTCTCTCCCCTACAGCCTATTTTTATTATTTATTTATTTATTTAATTTGAGATAGTCAAATTGCTTTGCTGCTCTCAGTAGAGTGCTATGGCATCATAGCTCACAGCCACCTCAAACTCTTGGGCTCAAGCAATTCTCTTGCATCAGCCTCCCAAGTAGCTGGGACTACAGGTGCCCACCACAACACCTGGCTATTTTTTTGTTGCAGTTGTCATTGTTGGTTAGCTGGCCCAGGCCAGGTTCGAACCCGCCACCTTCAGTGCAAGTGGCTGGGACTGTAACCACTATGCTATGGGGCACCGAGCTTTAACCATATTTTTCTAATCATATTTAATATAAACCCTGGTAGTAAGGTGTCTGACTCATCTCTAAAGTTTTCCATGTAGCAATTCATAGGAAACCATTGTAATCTCTTCTAATTATTATAAATGCAATTATTTCAGAATCATAGGCCATATTCAACCTGGCACATAATAGTTTTTGTTAATTCCTTTAAATGCATTTCATATTTTCATAGTTATTTAAGCTTTGGAATCTCAAAGTGTTGGATTTCCTGACTAAACTTACCTTGAGATTTAGAAATACCTTCTTAGTATATTTTGGTGGACTTATATTTCTTTAGTTGCAAAGGAGCGAGATATTCTGTAGATTGCACTTATTATTTTTTCTCTGTGAACTACTATGAATTTGATTATTTATCTTAAACTTCTAAATAAAGAGAACATTTTAAGAGCTTTTTGTCATCTTGTTATATTTATTATAAAAATCTCACTTTTTTTTTCTAGTGGAAAAGAAGCTTAAGAAATAAAGTCATCTCTCGAGATCATAAATTTAAAAAAATTGCCCATGGGTGTACTGTCAGTTCCAAGTTATCACCAGAAAGGTAAGATAGACATGTATGTGTGACATTGAATAGACTTATACTACATATAGTGTGACTATGGATGATTCATTTCAGTTCTTTGAGTCTGAATTACCACAGGTTTAAAATAGAAGAGTTGAACTCAGTATCCTCTAGGATTACTTCTAAGCTCTTTCTGTGACTCCTTGTTTTTGTACATTTGGAACATCTTGATAAACTTTTTACTGATAATGCACGAGTGATACATAGACTGATAAACATCTGCTTGAAGCATTTGTGGTCACCATTGAAAAAAATTGCTCCATTTAGCAACATGGTCTATAGTCATAGTATTAATGAATTATGCATATACTGGAATTAAATATCTGAGGGATTCAAATTTCAATTGAATTTGTTTTGGAAAAGAATGTAGAGCATTTTAGAATTAGACATCAGTAAATGATTAGAAAGTTGTTGTTTTACAATAAAAAGGTGTACTGTGTTTTCTTTCTTTCTTTTTTTTTTTTTTGAGAATCTCACTTTGTTGCCCCAAGGCTAGAATGCCATGGTGTCATAGCTCACAGCAACCTTAAACTTCTGAGCTCAAGTGATCCTCTTGCCTCAGCCTCCCAAGTAGCTGGGACTAACATAGCTGGGACTACAAGTGTCCAGCACAACACTTGGCTAGTGTTTCTATTTTTAATAGAGATGGGATCTCACTTTTGCTTAGGTTGGTCTCAAACTCCTGAGCTCAAGCGATCCACCTACGTTGGTCTCTCAGAGTGCTAGCTAGGATAATAGGCACCTACCTGCGCCTCCCAGAGCGGTAGGATGATAGGTGTGAGCCACAGTGCCAGGTACTTCATTTTCTAAATATGTGTCAATTTCTAGTAATAACAATTTTTGCTTTGTTATTGTCATTGTCTTTCCATTTACTATGCTAAAATAGAAAACATGACAGGGTGCTAAAATAGCCAGGTGTTATAGTGGGTGCCTGTAGTCTCAGCTACTTGGGAGGCTGAGGCAAGAGAATCACTTAAGCTCAAGAGTTTGAGGCTACTGTGAGCAGTGACGGTGTGGCACTCTACTGAGGGTGATGTAGTGAGACTTGGTCTCAAAAAATAAAAATAAAAAAGATATTATGATGATGCTTTAATTTTTTTTTTTTTTAAGATAGGGTTTTACTTTGTTGCCCTTGGTAGAGTGCTGTAGCTTCATAGCTCATAGCAACCTTAAACCAGTGAAAAAAATGCTTAAACTCTTGGGCTCAAGCAATTCTCTTGAGCCCAAGAGTTTGAGCCTCCTGAGTAGCTGAGACTACAGGTGCCTGCTACAACGCCTGGCTAGTTTTTTAGAGACAAGGTCTCACTCTGGTTCAGTCTGGTCTCCAACCTGTGAGTTCAGGCAGTCCACCTGCCTGGGGCTTCCAGAGTACTAGGATTACAAGTGTGAGCCCTAGGCCTGGCCTGGCCTGATGCTTTAAATTTTAGAACAACCACAAAGTCAGTTTATAGACTTGATTTGTTTAAAACTTCATATTAGGCTGTGCGGGGTGACTCACGCCTATAAATCTCAGCATTCTGGGAGGCTGAGATAGCTGGATTGCCTGAGCTCATGAGTTCAAGACTGCGCTGAGCAAGAGTGAGATACTGTCTCTAAAAAGTAGCTGAGCATTGTGGTGGCAAGAGAATTGCTTCAGCCCAAGAGTTTGAGGTTGCCGTGAGCTACTATGGTGCTCAATCCCAGGGCAACTGAGTGAGACTCTGTCTCAAAAGAAAAAAACAAAAAAATTGTTTTTTTTTACATAAAAAATTATGTTTGATTTGAGAAAAGGAATGCTAGAAGTAGCATTTATCTATTTATCAATCTATTAATTGTTGAGATAGAGTTTTACTTTGTTGTCCAGGCTAGAGTACAGTGGGGCCATCATAGCTTACTGTAGCCTCAAACTCCTGGGGTCAAGTGATTTTCCTGCCACAGCCTCCTTAATAGGTGGGACAATAAGTGTACACCACATGTGGCTAATTGTTTCCATTTTTTGTAGAGGCAGAGTCACACTATCTTGCCCAGGCTGGTCTCAAACTCCTGGCCTCAAGTGATTCCTTGTACTTGGCTTCTGAAAGTGCTAGGATTAAAGTTGTGAGACCCTACTCCCATCCACAAATCAAAAAACAATTTTTTTTAATTTATAAAGAAAAGAGATTTATTTGGCTCATGATTCTGCAGGTTGTACAAGAAACACGGTGCCAACATCTGCTTCTGGTGAGGGCTTTAGAGAGCTTCCAATCAATGTAGAAGGGGGAACAGGCTTATCACATGTCAAGAGAGGAGCAAAAAGGGGGATTAGGGGAAGGATCCATGCTCCTTAAACAACCAGCTCTGGTGTGTCCAATTTTTTTTTTGAAGGTTTTCTTTTTCTTTTTCATACATATACATGTGTATATTAGGTTTCCACTTTTGCCTTCACAGAATTAAAAGACTAAATTTAATGACAATAATAATATTTAACATAAGAACTGAGAACAAAAACCTCATAAAGAATGAAAGAAGATAAATACATTCAGAAAAAAAATCAGATGATTGCTACAATGAAAAATAGTAATAATGCAAAGAAAGTAACATTCACATTGTCAGATACAAGTACGTCTATTATAGAATACTTTGATTAGTTAACTTCTTATTTTGTTTTTTCCAAAGTCTCAAAAAAATAGACAACTAATATTTATAAATAAAAGATAATTTCAAAAAAAACAGATCATACCAAATCTTATAGACAATAGAAAAAGAAATACTACAGAATCATTCTACTTAATCTGGATACACCTGATATTAAAATTGGATAAAATATATTATTGTAAAAGGGAAATTACAAACATATTTCACTTATAAATGAGGATGCAATATGATAAACAACATATTAATGTGTTGAATTAAAAATTAATGTTTAAGTAATGTACTTTGGTCAAATTTAGATACAGTTTATATGAGAATTAGTCACTATTTTCTTTTCTTTTTTTAATGCATAATCATTTACTACTTGTTTGTTACAGAGTACACAGACAAAATATAAGTAGCAAACAAATTTTTTTTCCTTGTTATGTTTTTACTACAGTCTAAAAAAAAGACAACTAATATATATAAATAAAAGTAAAAAATAATTTCTAAAAAAAAAAACAGATTATGCCAAGTCTTACAGACAGTAGAAATAGAAATACTTCAAAATCATTCTACTTAGTCTGGATACCCCTGATAGTAAAATTAGAAAAAATATATATTATTATAAAGGGGAAATTACAGACATATTTCACTCATGAATAAGGATGTAATATGATAAACAACATATTGACATGTTGGATTAGAAATTGAAATTTAAGTAATATACGTTAATCAAAATTAAATCCAGTTTGTGTGAGAATTAAACATTATTATTTGTATATATATATATATATATATTTATTTTGCTCACACCCCTCGCTCCTTCTCAGTCTGATCTCCCCTTCCCCCATGCCCCACCATGTCATTAATTGTCTTCATATCAAAGTTGAATACATAGGATTCTTACTTCTCCATTCCTGTGATGCTTCACTAAGAATAATGTGTTCCACCTCCATCCAGGTTATTACAAATGCTGTAAAATCTTCATTTTTTTGATGGCTGAATAATACTCCATAGTGTACCTAATATTTTCTTTCACTAGGTAATCATCCTCAAAGTATTATTTCTGACTTGTTTTATTTTTCTTTTTAGTTGACATGCAATAATTGTATATATCTATGGGATGCACAGTGATATTTTGATAATGATCAACTCAGTATAATTAGCATATTAATCATCTCAAATATTTATCATTTCCTGGTGTTATGAATATCCAAAATTTCTTGTAGCTTTATGAAAATATAAAATAAATTATAGTTAACTATATTCACCCTACAGTGTCACAGAGCACCTAAACACAGCACTCCAATCTAGCTGGAATCTTGTGTCTGTCAAGCAAGCATCTCTCCTTCCTCCCTTTTGCTAATCCTTCCTTGCCTCTAATATGCACAGTTGTATTCTCTTTCCATGGGCCCATTTTGTTTTCTTAAAGTTCCCAGGTGTGAGAAAGAATATGCAGTATTTATCTTCCTTGCTTACTTACATTGCTTAAAATAATGATTTCTGGACTCATCATGTTGCCATCTAAGACAGAATTCCATTCTTTTTTATGGCTGAATAGTATTCCAGTATATGTGTGTGTGTATCATATTTCTTTTATTTATCTATCGATGAACATTTTGTTGATTCCAAATCGTTGCTCTTCTGAACAGTGCTGCAGTAACCAGGGAGTGCAGTTATCCCTTTGATATACCTTTTTCTTTTCCTTGGATATATATCTAGTAGTTTATAATCCAAACTACTCGATTATATGGTAGTTCTATTTTGGTTTTTTGGGAAACTTCCATATTGTTTTCCATAATGGCTGTATTAATCTACATTTTCACCAATAGTGTGTAAGAGTTCTCCTGTCTTTGCATCCTTGCCGCCATTAGTTATTTTTTCTCTTATTTGATAACCATTCTAATGGGGGTGATAAAATATCTCACTGTGGGTCTTTTTTTAATGTTAACTGAATCTTTATCTTTTATTTCAAAATATTAAGGGAGTATAAATGTTAATGTTACATGGATAGCTTTTATAATGCTTAAATTGGGGTTATTGGTGTGCCCATCACCCAAATAGTGTTCATTGTACCTGATAGGTAGATTTTAACCACCCCATCCCTTCTATCCCCACCCCATCTATCCCCTCTCCCATCTTGATTCCAGTGACTTTTACTTCTCTCAGTGCCCATGGGTGCCCATCAGTCAGTTCTGAATTGTTAGAGAGTATGCATGGTGTTTGTTTTTCAATTCCTGAGATACTTCACTTTGGATAATGTTTTCCATTTCCACCCAAATTACTGCAAAAGACATTAATTCATTCCTTTTTATGACTGAGCAGTACTCTGTGGTATCTGTGAGTACATACGTATATATATTCCACATGTTGTTAATTTACTCACA